TCCATTTCACGTATTCTCATCCCAATTGACCCCTTTTTCGTTGTTATTTGTACCTAAGACGTCCCCAATATCCCCAAAAACAACAGATTTTTACATGTATTTTTATTTAATCAAATACATTAAAACCAATAACAACTGAGACTTACCTTTAATATATATGCTGGTTCAAACACTAAATAACGTTTATAAATCATAGTCGTCTTCTATTATTATCAAATAAATAAAAGAGAGCAAAGTTTCTAGCACTAAAATAATTACCACCACAGGAAGTTAATTTGAAACGCGATTTTTTATAAGTTAGCAGCTATTATCATGCATATTCAGAGTTGTTTTGTGAACTTTCAACATTCTACTATTAAACTACAAAAAATGGAAGATTTTGCAACGAATATAAAACTTATATTGAGCGTCGAAAGATTTTCCCGGTTTTTTTCCCGATTCGCCTCTCAATCCCTAATCGCCCCATTTTACCGGTACTTAATTTCAATAGTAGTTTGATGTCACTTCCGTTGCATACCTGCGTGACGTTCTGTAAAAATGTTACCCTCATGCGCCTAAAGAAGTTTCACTTCAAAAATTATAAATTTTACTAATGAAATTTTGACATTCAACTAAATACGCTTGTCAATATATTCTTGCATTTACCGGTTTCTGGAGAGTTGTAATGACTTCTGAGAGAGATCATAGAAATACGCTGTGCAACATTGAATGAATTCTGTTAGTTTGCTACCGATGAAAATACTTACCTACTTGAAAGATCGACCAATTCGCGTGGATCCGTGTTCAGCAGTGGGATAAAAGTTATCAGAAGTCAAACTGTTTTCATTTTGAATGTTATCAAAATTGGTTCGGTGGTTTGCGCGTGAAAACGTTACAGGCAAAATTACTCTCTTGTAATATTAATATGGATTTCCAAGTGTCATGTTGGGATCTACACACGAATTCTTTTTGTTATCTACGGCAACGATTGGTTAAAAGCTTGTGGCCTACCATTATATTTATATGTGTACTCTTTTTTTTATAAAAACCCTTTTTATTTTTATACTTCTCACCTATACATATTTTTTAGTATTTCATTTTATATTTACTTAAATGCACAGACGTACATAAACAAATACAAATTATGTATTCATCTGATATTAATAATAGTTTATTTCACACAGCGAGAAGTCTACGCATTTTTTATAATAGTTCTCGTCGCTTGGCGTAATCCAATACGCAATCCGACAGTCGGTTAATGGTACTCCATCATACCCGATCCTGTAGACCGAATGGTAAACAGTCGACGTCACACGTCATTACGGATCCTCCCGATCCATTAACGGTGCTTTTAGGTATCTCAAGCACCGGTCACCGTCCTCGCCGAACCCGACGCTTGCAACGAACGGCTCGACGAGTAAATTAACCCATAGACACAGCCCACTGAGTGTCTCGCCGGATCTTCTCAGCGGGTCGCATTTCCGATCCGGTGGTAGATTCTGCGAAGCACTGCTCTTGTTAGGGCCAGTGTTAGCAACACCGGTGGAGTACCTTTTTTTCCTACCTATGCTGATAGTCTTCAGAGGCTATTTCAGCTTCTCCTTGACGTGTAGGTGAGTTCACGGGCTCAACCTGAGACAATTGCTAATACTGGTGCTTCGTTAAGGCCATTACCAGATTGGAATCGCGACCTGCAGAAGATCCAGCGAGAAACTCAGCGGCTTAAGTATTTTTGGCTAAGCCAGCCTTATGTTCCTTCAGCTATGACCGTATCCGTCCATATAAAAGATCAATGTTTGTGTGCTTGTCTTCTATGCGTTCATAAACCATTCAATTGACCATGATGAAATGACATAATTATTGTCTCTCCATAGATGGTTCTGTTTGTGATTTGAAGGTTTTCTGACAGTAATACGTCAGAGATATCAACCTCATGTGTCGTCGACGTTGATGTCGGCTTAGATTTTCTGATATCAACAAGCTTTTGTAACCTCTTAACACCAGGCATAAGTAATACAAGCTATAACTAAAATAAATGCTTTAATAAAAAATAACATAAAAACAAAAACGACTATGTATTGTAACGTTCCCATCTCTATTTGTGAAAAGCCTAATTCCTTTAAATTGTTGAAGATTTGTTGTTATCTCTAGCAGGTTCTACATGTAACTATAGCCAGTTGAGTCTAAATATCAAGCTGATATGCGATAACGCTAACTTCATTACTGTTAATAAGTCTTCCACAGATTATAAAATGTTTACAAGTCTATGGTAGAAAAAGTTTTAATCCGTACAATAAAAAAAGTGATGAGACTTTCTGGCGGGAACGCGAGGAGTGAAGTTTGTGATTTATTTTATTTTGTCTATTTAGTGTGTCTTCAGGTTTAAATGTGTAATAACGGTGGTTTATTAACTGTTTAATCTGTAAAAGTGCACAAATGTGGGAAAATGAAACAAAGCCGCTGGACGTAACTTTTTTTGGGTTCCTCCAAAAAGTCCACTAAAAAAAAAAAGTGTGTGTGTCCGCTCCGACGCACGACTGGAGTTTACTGGATATAAAAAATTAAACGAAACAATACGAGAAATAGTTCTATATTACGACAACACGATACACTACAGATTATTAACAAATTAACGAGACACAAAACAAACGACTAACAAATATATGAAAATACAATAACGCGGCCGCGCGTTGGCTCCTGATTGGCTTTGTGGCGGACTGCCGGCGCAGCAGCCCGGCGTCACC